CGACGACGACTTCTACCGCGACGAGTCCTTTCTCGCCGTCGTGTGGGGCTTTCTTCGCGGGATTCTTCGAAATTGCGCGCCCCCCTCCGGGCCAACGGCGCGATTTCGCGGGCCTTCCAGCGCGGCGCTGCTGCGGGCGGTGATGGCGCTCATCACCCACACGTGGATCCCGCGCCGGCTGCTCTGGCGCCGGCCCTCGCTGCTGCCGGAGCTGCTGACGGCGCTGCTCGGGGCCGTTCTGCGCGAAACCGTCCGCGCCCGCGAGGTCGCGGCGGAGACGGAGGAGGCCCTGCTCGAGGCCGCGGAAAATTCCGCCGATGCCGGCGGGGCCGCCCCACGCGGGGAGGCCTTGTACCCCCCGTTGGCCGCGCTGTTTTACCACTTCGCCCGGCAGGTCGAGGCGGACGACGCCGCGGACGACCCCGGCGACCCGAGTCTTCCTCATCTCCACACGACAACGACGCCTACGAGCAATGATAGTACGAATCCCCCTAATCGGAATCATCCGAGTCGCGAAAAAGCGCCAAAGCCCCCCCTGAACCGCCTGCCGGCCCTTCCGCCGCGGTCGACGCGTTTGTTGGCCCTTTCCGCCGTGGTGGCGTCGCTTTTTCAGGCCGCGGCGCCCTTCGCGTCGGTTTTCGCCCTCCACAGCGGGGATTTGGACTTCGTTTTTGCCGATCTCCTTCGCGGGCTGGCGCGGCATCGGCTCCCCGGCGTTCGCGCCGCCCCGATCGCCTTCCACGACGGCGTCTCCATCCGCCCGGCGCGGCCGTCCCCCCAAACATTTGTCGATTTGGCCTTCACGCTGATCGGGAGCCCCGACGGCAAGGCGCTTCTCCGCCAGGCCCTCCTCCGCCTGCAGGAGGAGGAGGACACCATCGGCGCCGGCGGCGATTTCGCGCGAACGGCCCTGACGGAGCGAACCCACATCTTCCACGTCGACTAAATCCCACAGGGGATTTCTAAAGCCATCGATCCCTATTCTCTCGTCCTTTTCACCCATGCCGTGAAGTGATTTACCGCCCCTTTTGCGGGACGGAAAGGGCCGAGTCCTACAACGAATAAAAAACTCGTTTCAGATTTCTCAGGCGTGATCTTCGATGGGGGATCACTTTAAAGCATAAAATAGTTTAAACGGTGCGGTCATATTGAGGCGATTACCTAATAAATAAACCAAGGCGCCCTTCTCCGCATTGTTGGCGTATTGGTGTCCGTTGTTGTGATGATTGTTATTATTCCTATTATTATATTTTCACTGCTTATCAGGGAAGGGGAAGCTGTCGAATCGTTGAACGAACTAATACTAACGTTTAAGATCATAACCAAAATGGGGTTTATTAACGAGAAAAAATGCCTAATTTCACATCGATAGGTGTACCTGAAAAGTGCTTATTGGGCGCCCCAAATCAACGTCCTTCATCTCTTTTTCATCCTTTTATTATTGCTAAAATCACGCAAAGGAAAAAAAAGAAGAAAAAGCTCGGCCTACGCACCAAAAGCACGCATTCAATCGCAATTCCTTCCCTTTCTGGGGTATTCGTCTTCGCAACCCTCCACCGTTCGCTTCCAAATCGAGCCCACTCGTTCAAACCCGGTCTTCCCCCACAAAACATAAAACTAAAACTTCAACCCCCATCGTCACCCTAATCCCAATCCAAGCTCCGATCGATCGCGTTGGATATAACCATCCATCTATCTATCGATATATCTCTAGATCTATTGATCGATATTGATTGTGATTGATAGGTATTTCCATATTGGAAT